TGAGAATCAAACCCAGGTCGCACCCATGCTAGGCAAGCGCTCTACCGCTGAGCCACAATCCCAGTCCCACTCCCAGCTGAGTTCTTTGTAGCTGCTGGGGCTCCCCCTTAAGTTTTCTCTTATCTCACTGGTAAGTGTTTGTAGTTCTGAGGTTTCTTTTTAATTTTACCCAAGGACAGAAAATTTCTTTCTTGCTCAAATTTAGGAGACTTTTAAACTTTTTTTTTTTAATTTTAGCATGTTTTCTCCTTTACCTCTTCATATCTCTTTATCATTTTTCTTACAAGTAGTTCCCTTACCCTTTTCTGCCTTCTTTTCTGGCTTGCTGTAATGTTCTTTCTGTCAATTCTATTTTTCTTTATTTCCATTTTGGATAAATCACACTTGACATAATTGATAGGCTCCTGAAATCTTGTGTATAAACAAATCATATTTGAAATAAATTAAGGAATCTTATCCTGCCCCAACTCATCACTGAATTCTTGGTACTTACTGTGAGCTACCTTAGAAAATGAACAAGCATCCCTCCAACAGATCAATAAGAGGAAAAGAAAGAAAAAAAAGAAGCAAGACAGAGAGTCTTAAACAAGGCACTTTCAAATCAACTGATAGTATTTGATGTGTTCTTTTTTTTCCCTCTGATTAGCTTTCCCAGCACTTGTTCAAACAAATTTTCAAAATCCAGCCTCCTCAATTTTCCCTCTCTGCATTTTTATAGAACTATAGATAACATAAGCCATCTCCTACCAGGCAGGATGATGTACTGGAAAAAGCATGGCGTTTTGGGATGTAAGACGTGGTGCCATCCCTGGTTCTTCCACTTCTACCTGTGTCAGGAAAGTAACTTTGCATTTCAGAGCTACCTTTTCTTGCTTTAAAAATGGTGTGTGCTCAGGGACGCTGAGGCAGGAGAATTGCTTAAGCCCAGGAGTTCAAGGCCAGTTTGGCAACATCTCAAATCAAAACAAATAACACAAAGCAATCAATACTTATTGAAAAAAATTAAATCTCTTCCATTACTTTCCTTCTTTATTGGAAAGTGCTCTCTTCTGACATCCTCTGTTTATTTGTAGATTATGGCATTGTACGGTCTTGCTAAGAAATTGACCTTTGGATCTCTGGTATTGTGAAATCCAGGAAAGTTTTGTCTCCTTTAAAACTCACACCTGTGCTTTAGAAAATTTTTTTCATACTAAAATTCATTCTAAGAATGAATACTAAGATCAGACTTTGCAGCATTTGGAAATTTATTGTCCTATCTAACCAAGATGATATTCCACAAGACCTGACACACAATAACAGCACTTTTCAAACTCTCTCCCAGGGCTTGTTGTGCCTAATGAAGAATAGTAACATCAACTTTGTAATATCAATCTCTGTCTTTTCATAAAGCACTATGCAGCATTAAAAATATTTAAGCACCATGGAATGAAATTGGATAAATTATACTATGCACACATATGAATATGCCACAGTGAATACCACCTTTATATATACCTATGAAGCACCAATTTAAAAAATAACAAGAGGAAGAAAAACCAGTAGAATAGAGAAAGGAGAACAGGGGGAGGAGAAAAAGGGAAAAGTGCTGGGGACTGAAATGAGACAAATTATATTTCTTTTATTATTATTATTATTATTATTATTATTATTATTATTATTATTATACCAGGTATTGAACCCAGGGGCACTTAACTACTGAGCCACATTGCTAGCCCTTTTTCATTTTGAGACAGGGTCTTGTTAAGTTTCTTAGGGCCTCACTAAATTGCTCAGGTTGGCTTTGAACTTGCAATTCTCCTGCCTCAGCCTCCCAAGTTGTCGGGATTACAGGAATGTGCCATCATACCAGTTGACCAAATTATATTTCATGCATGCATAATTATGTCAAAATAAATTCCAATATTATGTCTAACTATAATGTACTAAAAACATTTAAAAATATTGAAGCATATTATAGTTGCATTGTTTCGAGAGTTTTGCAGGAGTTGCATAATTATCATAAGATAACTGGAAGCACACTTGGGAAGGGGGTAAAAAATCAAGCAAAAAAGCTAAGATTAATGACCACCCCACAAGGTTTCTTATATAAATTAGGAATTCAGCTGAAGTTTCTGCATATCTCAACATCTCTGCTTGATGTTTACTTAATGTGTTTCTTTTCCTGCATATCATTGCAAAATGATTGTTAATTAATATTCTCTCTCTCTCTCTTTTTTTTTTTTTTTTGCAGTGCTGAAGGATAGAACCCTGAGTCTTGCATGTGCTAAGCTAATGCTCTACTTTGGAGCTAAATCTTCAGCCCAATATTTCTAATCTTAATCATCTTTTCTGATCTTTATTATTAATTTATCACAATATAGAGTCTATAACTCAGTTATTAACATTTGGTTTACTATACTACAGGGGGAAAAATCTGCAAGGTGACCAAGATAACATAGAAAACTAGGAATAAATTCAGAGTTAGATTAGAACAATATGCCATGCTTCTCTTTTTACTCCATGATCACCTGAGAAATGAAAACTTTTTTTTAAAGTGGGATTCACTGTGGTGTATTTGTAAATGGACATAGCATAATTTAGTAGATTTTATTCCCCAGTACTTCCCATGACCTTTCTTCCTCCCTTCCTCTCAATTCCCTTTGAAAATTCACTTTTTTTTGAGGGGAGGAGGAGTGTTTACTAGAGATTGAACCCAGAGGGGTTTTACCACTGACATCCCCAGCCCTTTTCTATTTTTTCTTTTGACACAGAGTCTTGCTAAGTTACTGAGGCTGGCTTTGAAATTGCGAACCTCCTGCCTCAGCCTCCTGAACTGCTGGGATTATAGGCATGTACTACCATGCCTGGGTTGAAAATTCACTCTTGATGTTTGCTGATCTCACCAGCTTTCCCTTTCTGTCCATCTAAATACTGTGCGAATTGGCTCACACTCCTCATTTATTCTCAGCAACCCACAGTGCTCCATGCTGATGCCACAAAGAGACCCACATGAAGATGAATTGAACCATGTACACTCCCATCATCCCAGTCCTAACTTCCACAAGAGCCTGCTGAGCAACTGGGGTAGAAATGAGATGAGCAGAGGACCTGGTCAGGACATTCAGGTCTCAGCTCTCATAATTCTAGCTGTGTGGCTTGTGACAGTCATGTAATCACTCAGCCTAAATTTCCTCATCGTAAAAAGGGAATAAAATTAGCATCTGCTTCACAGGATTATTTCAAGGCTTACTTGGGAAGCTCTCAGCATAGTGCCTGGCACATAGTGAGAGCTCAATAATTATCATTGTTATTATGATGATGATAAGGAAAAGGACAATATCACTAAATTTTCAAGCACATTGTTAGAATTAACTTAAACAGCCCTGCTCTTGACCCATTCATCTGTTTTACTCTGAAGAGATTCCAATTCTCTGACTTCATGCCAAATGCCTATTCTAACTCCTCAAGGACAGAAACTGAGTCTTATATTTCTTTACATTTACTAGTGTCCAGCAAATGAATTGAGTATGATAGACATTCAATACATATTTGTATTTGAAAACAACAAGGACAAACATTGTTAGCCACAAGTTCTAGTAGAGAGTGCTAGAAACTTCCAAGACTAAACTATACAAGACTTCTTGGGGGATTTGACTTTCTTTTTTTTTTTTAATATTTATTTTTTAGGTGTAGATAGACACACACAATGCCTTTATTTTTATGTGGTGCTGAGGATTGAACCCGGGTCCTGCCCGTGCTAGGCAAGCGCTCTACCACCGAGCCACAATCCCAGGCCCGGATTTGACTTTCTTTCCAGGGTAGTTTGCACAAATTTATATGTAAGTGTTGACAGCAGTGCTGTGAGTGCAATTATAAGGGTGAGAAATGATATGCTAGAAAACAAAGCACGTGCAGTAATTAAAAAATAAAGTCACATTGAGAAATGATATGCAACATTTACTGCATGAGGATTCTTCTCCTTTAAAACCCACACCTGTGCTTTAGAAAAATGTTTTTTCATACTAAAATTCATTCTAAGAATGAATACTAAGAACAGAATCTGCAGCATTTGGAAATTTACTGTCCTACCTAACCATGATGATATTCAACAACTGTGACACACAATAACAGCACTTTGCAAACTCTCCCAGGGCTTGCTGTGCCTAATGAATGATAGTAATGAACAGAGAATTTTGCATTGGAATGGGGGAAGAGAGGATCAGCTTTTAGACATTATAGTTCTCTCAGTTCTGAATTGCACAGAGAAATAGGGTAGTAGTGTACATTCTTTGTAAATGGAGAAAGTGAATATAGTATTTGTGTGCTCATGCGGGTATAGATATAATGTTATGAACCAGAGTTACAAGTCAAAGGAACACAAAGTTTGGAATTCACTATCTGTGTGCACAAGTTTCCACATCTGCAAAATGGGAATACCAGTAGCCCCTTCACTGGGTTTTTAAAGAATTATTATATAGGATAGCAATGTATACCCAAGGGTCAGGGACCAGTAGAAGCTCTTCCACATAGGGCACGTATTTAGCAGATTATAACAATTAACCAGAGTTAAAAAAAAAAAAAAGACTGACTATTCCTTGTTCTTCAGACATACTTGGGAAAATCTTGTATTTGGGTTAGTAATTGTAAAACCTAGATCGAATTGTGTAGATATGAAATTCCTTACAAAGCATCGAGTCATGCCTGTGGGGATGGAGTAAGGCTGGCCCCTGAAGGGAGTCCTCTGCTTCAAGCTTTGGAGTGCACTACTGCTCTGTGCCCTGTCCCAGCAAATGCCTCAGAGGCTCAGTCTGAGAGCCCCTTCTCCCTGTAGCCAAACTTTAAACCAGCCCCCATGAGGGAACTCAGTGCTCAAAGGATTAGGGCCATAAGCGAGAATGCCACCCAAATCCCCTGGGGAGAAGCAAGCCCAGAAGCCAGGGTATTTAGATACCCGGCTTGGACTGGACCTGGGATCCCCCTCGCCTTCTCCACCCGCAAGCCACTCCCTGGGTACTCACCGCGCTCCCTCTGTGCTCTAGCAGTGGCCAGCTCCGGCGCAGACCCGGCGGTCCGGGCTGTGGGTCTCACGTGTCTCCCGCCGTTGTCTTTGGTGCCAGCTCCGGCTCTCAGGCTGTGGGGGCCACCAAGCCTCCCAGTGGGGGCACTGGGTGGCAGCGATGGCCGCGGCCACCTATCAGAAGGAAAGTTGCTGAATAGTCCAGCTGCGGGGCGTGCAGCCCGGACCTGGGGTCCCCGCTCGCTGTCCGAGAGGAGGCGGGGGATTCTGCCACTTGTGGGCTGTGCGTGTGTCGCCTTGAGCAAAGTAATTCTCTCTGCACACTGCATTAAAAATGTGGGTAATACAGCCTGTGTCATGAGACAGCGCAGATTGACTCACCGAGTCAGCGCGCAGCAAGATGGGATAAAGGAGACACTCTCGCTCTGGGCTCCCACCGCCTGGGAGCAGTGGCACTGTTGGCGGCACTTACTCCTCCAGAGAAGTTTGCCCGCGGTGTTCTTCCTCTAAGCTCTCAGGACCGCCCAGCTCTTACCTCCCCCTAGCGCCCTGGTCTAGAGCCAGCGGATGGCAAGACCACCCACTGGGATGAGGGAGTTAGAACTTTCATCTGTATCTGCTTTCAAACAATTAAGAAAGAAATTAGCTTTGTCAATTTTTTTTCAATTGTTTCTTTTATTTCGATTTCATTGATTTCAGCTCTGATTTTAATTATTTCTTGCCTTCTACTGCATTTGCTGTTGATTTGCTCTTCTTTTTCTAGGGCTTTGATATGTAGTGTGAGATCATTGATTTGTTGGCTTTTTCTTTTTTTTGAGGAATGAACTCCATGCAATGAATTTTCCTCTCAATATTCCTTTCATAATGTCCCAACACAATATGTGGTTTCTGTGTTTGTTTTCATTTATCTCTAATATTTTTTTTTAATTTCCTCCTTGATGTCTTCTGTGACCCATGGTTCATTCAGTAGCATATTGTTCGTTCTCCAAGTGATGTAGGAATTTTTCTTCCTTATTTTACCGTTGATTTCCAATTTCATTCCATTATGATCAGATAAAATGCATGATTCATTGGAAAGCTGTGAGTGGAACCACCATTTGACCCAGCTATTCCCCTTCTCGGACTATACCCTAAAGACCTAAAAACAGCATACTACAGGGACACAGCCACATCAGTGTTTATAGAAGCACAATTCACAATAGCTAGACTGTGGAACCAACCTAGATGCCCTTCAATGGATGAATGGATTAAAAAAGTGGCGTTTATACACCATGGAATATTGCTCAGCACTAAAAAATAACAAGGTCATAGCATTTGCAGGGAAATGGATGGCATTAGAGCAGATTATGCTAGGTGAAGTTAGCCAATCCCTAAAAAACAAAGGCGGAATGTCTTCTCTGATATAAGGGGGTAACTCAAAATGAGATAGGGAGGAAGAACATGAAAAGAAGATTACCACTAAATAGGGAAGAGAGATGGGAGGGAAAAGGATTCCCTTTCTCTAGAAGGGGAATTGCATGGAAGATGGAAGGAGACCCTCATTGTTATACAGATTACATGTAGGAAGATGTGAGGGAAAAAAAAAGAAGTGTGTCACATCAGATTGGGTAGAGAGAAGTGATGGGAGGGGAAGGGAGGGGAAAGAGGGATAGCAAGGGCCGCAGAATAAATAGACACTAGTATTGCTGTATGTATATACATGTCTGTATAACCAATGTGATTCTGCAACCTGTACACTCAGAAAAATGAGAACTTATACCCCATTTGATTCAAATGTATGATATGTCAAGATCATTGTACTGTCATGTGTAACTAATTAAAATAAATAAAAAATAAAAATTTTTTAAAAAATTTTAAAAATAAAAAAAAGAACAAGAAATAAATTAACCTTTAAGAGTTAACTTGACACCAGCCATAAATAGTAGTGCGGTTCTGAAGAGGGACACAATTCAGGGAGTGGCAGCGGTGCCCCTTGCAACATTATTTCATTGAATCTGGGAATTGATTGGTCATAAAACATAACCATCATGTACAGGTAAGAAATTAGAAGAACTGTCTCATCAATTATGGCACAACATTTTCTCATCACTAAGAACCTTTTAAAATTGTAATATTTATTGAAATATTCTTTTTAGGTTTATTTAGACCCCCCTGTTTATTATCCATTGTTCATGTACATTCGAAAGAAAGGCATAGCTAAATCAAATAAATTTGTAAAAATTTTCTTGATATATATTCACTTTTAGAGCCCATCACTCCTGACCACTTGTTTCACTCAGTGCCATCCACAGTGACTGGAGAGTGTTACTACTAGGCAGCATTTCTTAAAACAGTAGCTCCCCACACCCAACCCCATTGTCTCTGGAGTATTCTTCCAAACTACTGAGTCCAGTCTGGGTTTGCTGAACTTGCCCTGCCTAACCTAAGGACAATGGCCTCACCGTACTGCTCAGGCAGTAGCTTAAGACCTCCTGTAATTTAGGAGACCTTAAATATGAACATGTATGTCTTATGATTGACAGTGTACATTATGATATTTTGACATACTGTAGTTTACATTCTTCAGTAATTTGTCTATGTAAATAACTTGAAACAAGTAACTTTCAAATTATGGAATCAATACTACTTTGTAACAAGATGGTACATTATTGTGAAAATCATTTGTAACAAAATATAAAAGAGTTGGTTAAAAGTTAGTTATTGGGGATAGGGTTGTAGCTCAGTGGTAGAGCACTTGCCTAACATGTGTGAGGTATACTGGATTCCATCCTCAGCACCACATGAATAAAATCAAGTTATTATGTCCACCTACATGGAAAAAA